GAGAGAGAGAGAGAGAGAGATTGTTATATAAAAAGTAATTTTACATATAATAGGATTTTATGAAATCTCACGCAAATACCGATAAATCTTTCGGATATGATATACTGTACGACTGGTTAGGAAAGGGTTTATTGATTAACACGTCGACAGACCTATGGAGACAACGCCGTCGACTCATAGCACCGGCATTTCATAGACAAACACTCGACAACTTTCTGCCCGTATTTAACGACTTAAGCCGAGTATTTGAACAACGATTACATCGTTCACTCGAAAAGGAGAGCATCAATATTTGTGATCTTATTTTCTCCCTGTCATTAGATATTATTGCAGGTTTGTAAATAAATCGTCTAGATCAGGGACTTCCACAGGTCGAACTCATGTCGCATTCGCGCCTTTTTATGTATGAGGGTATACTGTATAATTATTATCAACCAATTACTAATAGCAAAAATAATAAAACTTCAGCTATTAACCAAAGTTAAACTATGAATTATCATAACTAAACATTACAATACGTCCTATTGACTAAAAATATGTAACCTGGATGTCCCTGGTCTAGATAATAACATACTACTCTTATAAATAACATGGGTATAATTTTTTTTTAAAAACACACACGGTTAGAAACGGGCATGGGAATAAAACTAAATGCCCAAGGTAACGAACACCGGGATTACATCGATGCCATACAACATATTGGTAAAATAATGGAGTATCGATTTTTGAATCCACTTTTATGGCCTGACTGTACATTCAAACTGTCCGAAACTGGCAAACAGTTTAAACAGTGTTATAATATCTCACACTCACTGACACATCGGGTTATTAGTGACCGAAAGCGGGTTATGATTGAAAGTAAGGGATTTCACGGTTCGGACGCTAGCGATGGTCATAATGAGGGAAAAGCGGGTAAACGACTGGCCTTTTTAGACCTACTATTAGCACATCATTTGAGTAATAATAATAGTCTATCACTGGAGGACATCCGGGAAGAAGTGGACACTTTTATGTTTGCCGGACACGACACAACAGCGTGCTGTTTATCATGGACCATTTTTTTTCTTGGTAATAATTGTTTTGTAATAGATTTTAAAATATTTATAGTAAATGATACATAAATTTATTTGCAATACATTAGGTTTATATCCGGAAATTCAGGGTCGCATTCACGAGGAATTAGACGAAATATTTGACAACAATTGCGATATTAATGCCGAAAACATTAATAAATTACGTTATTTAGAGGCAGTAATTAAAGAGTCGTTGCGATTGCGTTCACCGGTGCCCACAATTATGCGTACACTAACACAAGACATACAACTCGGTCCCTACACTATACCATCCGGCGTATCAATATTATTGTTGCTAGATGAATTGCATCACGATCCAGATATATACCCTAAGCCCCTGAAGTTTAATCCGGATAGATGGCTATCATCTGAACATGGTGGTAATAAAGCAGCTAGTTTTATGCCGTTCTCATTGGGCGCCCGCGACTGCATTGGCCAGAGGTTTGCTATGAATGAGCTGAAAGTGGTTTTGGGCCGAGTCTTACATCGCTATGCATTTCGATCACTCGAACCCATAGACAAAGTGATTGAATATCACGCTATGGTTAAGAAACCTAAATATGGTATTCGTGTTAAAGTAACCCAAAGAGTAAAATAAATTCATCGCGTGTTTAATTATGTTGTAATTAAAATTTTGTAAACAATAAAAACGGTTTTATAATTTAAGAATTGTTATGTAATAAATGATAATAACTAAACATATTATTATAAATGTAATTAACCACATATTT